TCTCGTCGGATTCCACTAAGTTGGAAAATGACTGAACAACGTGAGCAGCGATATTACATCAAATTTTGCCAAAAACCTTGGCGATACCCGAGTGTAAACCATTCGCAAGATTCAGCAGGCTTTCGGGGACGATCCTCGAGGCCAAAAAAAGCGCGGCAGGTCCGCAGCAATATCAAGGTCATGTTGACAGTTTTTTCGACTCTTGTCGGGTGGTTTATCGTGAGTACGCACCACAAGGCCAAACCATCGCAAAGGAGTACTACCAGGAGGTCCTTCGTCGTCTTTCCGATGCTGTGCGACGCAAACGACCGGATCTGTGGACGATCAAAACTTGGCAGCTCCATCGTGATAACGCATCCGTCCATTCTGCGCATCTGATTCGGGCTTTCGTCGCTAAACACAACACTCCTGTGGTTCGTCACGCTCCGTACTCTCCCGACATGGCTCCGTGTGACTTTTGGTTATTTCCCAAGCTGAAAATGCCGCTAAAAGGAATCCGATTTTAGTCGAGAGAAGACATCGTGAGGAATGCGACGGACCGGCTGATGGCCATTCCAAAAGATGCGTTCCAGCAGTGTTTCCAGCAATATCAGGAACACTGGGAGAAGTGTATACACTACCAAGGAGACTACTTTGAAGGGGATTAGGGTTTTGTACCTCAAAATCAATAAATTTATTTTTGCCGACCAAAGGTCCGATACTTTTTGAACAGCCCTCGTATATTTATGTTTTGTACAATGATTTGAAACAATCGTTTCGTACTAAAAGTGATCGTCGGTGTTAAATGAATTATTCGGGCCTCCAGTTTTCGTAATGCACTTTATTATCCCGCATACGATCGTTGCGCCATTTGCCTATAATTATGCTCTGACGTGGTATGAATTTCTTAATTGACACTAAATTGGAAAATATTAATGTAACAATTTCTCGATGACACGCGATTCTACATATAGACCTATAACAAATAGTTTTTCGTTAATCTTAAATACATTAAGAAAGAAATATTTAAAGCTCGTGAAGGGCAGAAAATAATGAAAGGTTACTTCATGAAAAAATTCGACTACGTTGAAAATCTGTATTCTTTATTATTCAAACTAATCATATTCATTTGTATTCGCTGTGTCGTACTATGTAATCTTGTTTAAATTTAAATAAATAAATATGTGTTTTCTTTACTCCGAAAATAATAATAATGTCGGTACTCTGAATGTTTCTGAAATCTCATTAAAATGAATTTCTAACACATTTATATTTTTTGTGAGACTGAAAACTCTCGCATCGAATGATTCAGCAGAAATCATTCGATGCGAGATGTTTTTCAACAGCAAAATGAGAAAATGAATTGCTTCTGTATTCTTTTAACTTAAAACAAGAAGATATCGAGGGAAAGTTTTTACCACTCTCTTCTAACATTTTCCAATAATTCGGTATTGTGACAGAATACGCTGGTAAAATAATTAAATAAAAACGCTCAATTATTTATTGTGACGTCTTCACAATGCCGGGCTGCAATTTTTAATCATATTTTTAATTTATTTCATTTAAAATATATGTTCACCATGCTCAAATCAGTAGTGGCTTGATAACTTTCGGTCTAGTACCTATATAGTTAATCGGGACATCCTCCCCCTAATCTTCTCTTGTTTCGACTTTCATCTATCTAACACCGTTCTCAAGATTAAGAAAGAACAGATAGACAGATGACAGTGGGAATTTATAGGTCTATAAATTTTTCAAATTGCAGCCCAATTAAAGATTTCGTATAAGGATACATTTTTAAAGATCTGAAGATCCTTACATATATAAGAATCTTCATAAAATGAATAGGATAAGTGAGGGTGAGACGGTGGAAAAAGTTCTAGAAGCTGTACTTGTAAAAATAAATTTTATTTTAAAAACCTGACCGAACTGGTGTTTTATTATCATACCAAACGACATAATAACGAGCAAAATAATAGTGTTTTCCGAAAAAAAAAAATATATATATATATAATTTTCTTCTAATTCATCATCTCACCCTTAGAAATGTGGGTTAGTTGGTTAACAGTAGCCTGTATTCATGAGCCCTCTACCAGAGTCTACTCTGTTATTTTTGTCCGATTACAAGTTACACACATTAGTCGAGCTTCTAAAGTATTGTATACGAGAAACAAAAGTCGTCCGCTAATGTTGCCTTAAGATTTTCCAGGCTACAGTAAACGTAAACACGTGTAAAACATTAGATTTTTTCACTTATTTTTACTCACGCTTGTTGTGTGAGCCTGTGAATGGCTCACACAACAAGCGTGACTTTCAACTACACAATACATTAATACGAGGCTCTACTTTTTAGTTTATACAGCAATTACACGTGTTCACCACCTCATTTACCCTAAATTAAGTTTTAATAAATTAATTTTAGTACAAAGTTTATAATTTAAAATATTTTAAAATTAATTAAGATTAATTTCGTATTTTTTCAAAATTAATAATTAAGATATATTTAGAAGAATAAATATAAACTGCCTATAAAAAGAAGGTCAGTGCCACTGTAATGTTGTTGCTGTGACTAAAAATGAATAAAAGATGACTGAATTTGACAGATCTTTGTCTTAATTTTTACTAATTTTAAACAAGTTCGTGTAACTTATTGAATGCCGGAAGCAAACCGAAATACATTTACGGCATTTTGATTTTTCGAATTCTTATTAACGTTTAATAACTAGAGAATCATTAAACGTTGATAAGAATAATGATAAATTTTTAATGACTTACCTTTCAAAATATAAAAATAAAATAAAAACTCTAATAATAGCTTGAAAATGGCTGCTGAAATTAAATAAAAAGGAAATTAAAAATAAAAAATGGTTCTATAATTGGTATTTACAAATGAAAATCGCAGAAAAGAATTCTTCAAGAGGTAGATCAGTCAATTTCTAAAAGATTAAATTTACTTTACTTGTTAACTCCAGAATTTATTCAGAATTCCAAACATTGGGTAGTTTTAATTAAGATAAATATTAGTAAAGTCAAATAAAATACGAATGAGATCTAAATATAAAATTCTAAGCGCTTGTATACGTATAATTTTAACATTAATGCGGAATAATATTACGATAGATTAAATGGTGGTTAATAAATGTAACGAAATATAAAGCGTGCAAAACGTATTAAGTTTAAAAAAATGAGCTATAATACTAGAAATCATTAACTAACTTCAGATTACAAGGCAACATTCTGAACAATCTTTTATCTGCAACCACAAACCAGGAACTTGTAGAGAAAATGAATCATTATCTAATTAATTTCCTCCGAAGGTTATTGAGCTTTTGTTGAAGGGAAGAAAATTACAAAACGAAAAAATAATACAAGAATTTTCGATAATGCCTTGACGGAAATATTTCAATGACAGTATTATGTAGGTTGAAATTCCAGATCACGAGTCCATTCTCTCGTTCTTACCGCTTCGAGAGCATAATGAAGGGGAAAAAAGAAAGAGAATGTGACCAAAATGTCACTTAAGAGGTGCATAAGTAAAGTAATAATATATAATTGGGAATTATTAAATTGAATTGACATTGTCCTTATTGCTCAAGATCATGTAGGTAAATATAGTTAAAAATACTACCTTAATTCGACAATTTCTTTNTCACCGAGAATTAGTTTGAAGATTGTCGAAATTCAGAGATTACAATAATAATGTTTACGATAAAATGTACTTTTCGTCATACTGACAACGATAGGAATATTGTCGAGTTTTCTTGTGCATTCTTGACAATGTTAGGGCCCCCTCAATCGCGGGGCCCCGGTGCACAGCATCCGCCGCACCCCCCCGATGGCCGGCCCTGATTATTCATTATGTTAATTGTCGTAGCATGTGATAATTGCGTATAAGCAAGTGAAACAATAAACGTTTCTGCAGTCTGCACATTGAACAAATACAGATTTTTACAATAAGACGATTTACATGACACTGGAAAAGCAAACTTGATTAATGTTTAAAAGCACTTCATCATCAACTAACTTGGAGGAGAATCATTCCTACCGTATCACATTTGAAAATATTAGAGTACTTAGTGTTTCCCCCTATCGCCTTTGCAACTTCTGAAATAGATAAAGAACCCTCTGATGCAATTAAATCTTGCTTTTGAAGGATGCTTTCACAATATGTAAATTTTGTAATATTATCGTGCAGTGATTCTTAAGTATCACATTATCACATGCTCCGACAGCAGAACACATTTCTGCTGTCGATGTTAGCACGAGATATCGAAGCCATCTTTTCGTTCTTTAGCGTACGAAGATGCAATTATAGATACATTTAGGTTAACAATGACTGTTGTCTGGCAACAGTCATTGGTGCTTTTACTTTTTGCTAGCTTCCAAGCTCGCCGAGCTGACACCTAGCTCAGCCTGACGTCATACTAACACGCTCGTAAAAGTATACACAGTAATGGACGCCGCCATCTTTGAACAAACGCCAAGCTCGTTGTAAATTCTCCGAGCACGCCGAGCGCGCTAGGAATCCTAGCAATGACGTCACGAGTGCGAAAAGTAAACGCCGTGCTCATTGGTAGCTAACAAAACATATACAGGCTGAGCGCGCTAGGGGGGCGAGATCGGAGCTAAAAGTAAACGCACCCATTGTATAACAGAGACTTATCACACTGCTACTAGTAACATAAAAATGACACGTCTATCATCAGAATGCATACTTTATCATTTTAATGTTACCAGTAGCATTGTGATAAGTGTCGGTTATCTCTACTATAGTATTTGAGATATTAGTTTCAACAATTTTCAAGACAAGAAGCTCTTTTAAAATGCTTAAAACTGTTATATTGCTGCATATTGTGAATGAAAGTTTTGTACGTAATGTATAATATATCTGTTAAATAAATAGGTAATGATAAAGTAAGTAAATAAATTTGCATTTTACTGTTTTGTTTTATTACATATGTATGGCAATTAGGAAAACCATAGCTTATTCTCTGATACATTTAAATAGCCATAGAAATTTAATTCAGATACAAACTATTTTTTAAATAATTTATTAACTTTAACACTACGTAAAGTGTGCTATACAGTTTTACTTGATTTAGTATAGTGAGAAATAGTATTTGGGATGAAATAGTTTCGTATTTTTGACATGAGAAATTATATTTCTTATAACACACGTTGGCTCTACATAACTTAGTTTGGTAATTTATACAATATTCTGCACTATCAAAAGTAGAATATCTAACATGTCTTTCTTTTAGCTTCCATGTCATCACTAATCACTATCACTATCTAATAATACTGTCTGAACTCTTGCCATCCTACATTTACCTATTTTATTTGTCAACCTCTAACTCATCACCCTCTAATCATCTCTGTTATTATGTGTCTGTAACTATCTTGAATATGTTGTCTAAATAGTTGGAATTTCCTCTTTTTCCTCTGGCAGCGTATATTTGAAATTCAAGGGTTAAATCTACTGACTTTTAATCCCCCTTCTCCGACCTGTTCCTAATTTTTTTTGGCTCAACTTTAATCTCTATCTCATCAATAAACACAATATAAATTGTGAATAACATATATCATAGCTCTTTTCTCACTGCAAACTACAATAATTTACCTAATATTAATAAATAAATAAACAAATAAATAAAATATGGGCTTTGATAAACTCCAAAGCCACCTCAAATCCTAAATTTCTTTTATTAGTAACACTTTAAATATATCCTAACACATGGTTTAACATTTCTATACATTTCCATAATTAGATTATATAATTCTCATCATTCCCTTTTCTTCCTGATTCAGAGTTCTCAGGAATCCCGAAGACATTCCATATTAATAACATATATACAGGCTTAACTATTAATTTTTTGACTCCGTTTTCTTCCTCTTAACGAAAACGCCCAAAATTATTTTAAAATGAACACAAATTGTAAGCAACAAACAAACAGTCTAATCAATAGAGAGGTTGCGGCGCAGTTCAAACGTTACTTGTACACGGCAAGCAGAAGTTTACGGTTTACGTTTTAACTCCAAGAAAAAATCGTTGCGGCGCATGTTCACAACATCACGTGACTCAGTGAACGTCGCGCATTGACTCACGGGAAATTTGTTGAAAAAATGGTGGATACATTTAACATCGAGGGTTACCAGCGAAGTTAAATAAACAAATTAAAAATTAAAAGTATTTATAGGATGTTTAATAACACTAATTATTTTAAATTAGTGTTGTGTTTCCTACCGTAAGATAGGACTACCTCATACTTTTGTTGAGGGAAGTAGTGGCTTATGTAAATTCGAAAGCAGCTCGAAAAATTACTTTTTAGAAAATTTACAAACGTATTACGCTGTTGTTGGTAGATGCCGTGGAAGAACAAACCTACCTTAATAGAAAAATTTATCACTATACGATTATTGATGCGAATATCTGAAATTCCATTTAATTGATGCAAGTTTATCGGCCACCAATTTAAAGTCTTTTAATTAATCTTTAAAATTGACGTTTCTACTTCCCGGGACGAGGACCCAGGGGTTGGATTTGTGGGAAGCGAGTGTTCTGGTTGTTTCATTGTGTCGAATTACACAGAACGAGGCGCTTGACGTGTAAGTGCGTGAGTTCGAGAATTCGAGTAACTGTTAAACGGTGTATATCTTCGTGTGCTGTTGTGTCCGTGTCCGTGACTCAAGTAATCTTTCTGTCGGCATGTCTAAAATCAGAAAAATAGTAAATTACGATACGATAATAAGATGAGTAAATAAAGAAAACGAGAGTTCTTACTATCGGAGATTTCGGGAAATATTCACTTTTATGATAAATGGCCACTTCGCCCTCTTCGTGGTAAAGTTGGGGAGAGAGATTTTTCTCCTTCTCAAATTATCCTAGAAAACGCAAAGACAGTGAGAAAGCGAGAAGTTCATTTATTATCTAAGGTCAACATTATTACCTTTATCAGACAGTCTTTCTTCCCGAACAGTGTCATGAGAGGAGCAAAGGATTTTACCTAGCCTATTCTAACCTAACCTAACCAATCCTCATAAGCCTGTTTAGGAAGAGAGGTTGGCCGAATGTCGGCATGTCGCGGCCGGTGAGACTTTCACGTCCGGGTGGTCACAATCGGGAGTCACCGTTGTCGTCGACCGAATGTCACTTTTGGGAGCAAGTCCGTGATCACACCCGGATAAGAGATGGTTACGTCCAGGAAAAGATGTCATGTCCGAATGAAAAGTGTTGAATCCGATAAGAATGTCGCATGCTTGTGCAGAAGGACGAGTTGGGGAAAATCGAAGAGGATTACCGCCTAGGCCAATGGAACCGCAGCCGTCCGCAGCAACAAAACCACCGACACTTTCTCAACTTCGGGGCCCACCAGTGGCCAAGCGGTTTCGTTCCCTGAACACTGGAAGTTCGGTTGTGAGTTCCCGCCTTGCCAGGACAGGCTGGCCACTTGAAGTTTTTCGGGTTTTCTCCATGTCTGTAACGCCTGAATACGAGACCAGTTACCCTTAAAAAGACCTCTCGCAAGGCATCCCCTAGGCAGATCGCCCAAGTGTTGCGTTGCCGTAACTTAACCAACCAAACAAACAAATAAATTCCTCAACTTCGGCAGCTCTCTCCTCCCATTCTTTCCCCTTCGACTTCCTGAAGGCAGTGACGTCCCGTGGCGGACGGAGAGGCAGAACGCGAGAAAACGGGAAGTGACAACTCGGACAAGCTGTCAGTTTCTATATCCTCCACAATAAAGCCACAAGATCTGTGGCAGCCACAGATCATGTGGCAAGGTCTTTGGGGATCGGCCAGCCACAAGATCTGTGGCTGGCCGATCCCCGGAGACCTTGGCCAAGTTCAATGGACCCAGAGTGTAGCGTCGCAATATCCCAACTCAGGGAGAATGCCACGCCACACGCATTTGGGGGAGGTGTATGCCACACCACCTTCCAAGAGACCATCGAGCAAGAGGTAGCGGGGAAACCCGCTGTCCTTTGCTCGACGGTCTCTTTCAGCACCGAACAAATCGATTGGGAAGAGACACGGTCGAGCGCCCGGTCCTCGAACGTCTCTTCGGGCGCGATAAGAGTCCGAGAGCGGAACCACTCTTCATTCTGTAAAAAAAAAAAAATTGCAATTAATCGAGTGAAAACAAAAGCTTAAAATACGTCGACGAGTAAAGCAAAATGTTCACCGCAGTTCCCTGATTAAATCTAAAAGATTCGAATCGAAAGCGGAAACGGCCGACCATCAAACGTTGAACCGAGATGTTTTCTGGCAACGATACTTTCGGAATATTAAATAAATTCTTACGTCTAAGGTAAGAATTTACCTAACTAAGACTTACCTAAAAATTCTTTTACCTTCTTTAGAAAACTCCGCAAACGGCAAAACAGCACACAATTTAAGAGTGCAAGAAACGCAAATTCGACTCGAACGATAAACAGAAACGAACTGCAAATCGTGTCACGTGTGACGAATTTCGAACAAACGTTAAAAGATGCGTAAACAATGTTCGAATTTCGTAAGAATAAAAATAATAAAGATCAATTTTACTTTTTAATGAATTAATTTATAAATTTTTTTTATTTTGCTTTAATCATTTTCTTGTGTTCGGAATTTAATGAATAAATTATCTTCTGCAGTTACATCATGTTGAATGTGCACCGTAGAGAGGAAAAAGACGACATTCTTAAATTCTACATCTTGAGGCTCGACGATCTTCGAAAATTGCACGAAATTCGTTCGAATAAGTTGATAAATATCTTTTTCGTCTATTTTTGGCCATCGGATGAAATAAATCAAATTCTTACGATTTCGATTTATTTCACCCACCATTATTTCGCATTTCGGAAAGATTCCTCAGTCGCCGTCGGAGTTGCACGTTGCGCGTGTTAATGTAATATCAAACTGGATAAAGTTAATACTTAAAAAAAAAACAAAAAACGAAATACCTTTATAATACGGCGGAACGAAAATGAATTCCGAGGAGGATATAGAGGATAAACAGACGAACCAGGGAGAAGCAACCATTCTTTCTCCTTTTTTAAAGAAGCTCTCCCTTAAATTCTTAATTTGATCGGTTAATCAATTTCATACTTCCGTTAGGCTACGTACACATTAGGCGTTTTGCGTTGCGTTAAACGCGCGTTAGCAGCATACACACCGCGCGTTTAGCTTGGCGTTCGACGACCGTTTGCATTGGTTCAGTTTGGAAATGGACATGAAAGTAATTGCTTGTGTGTGCCTTCTCCATCGTCGCTATAAAAGACGATGGCAGAGGCAGAGAATTTTGGGTGCACCCAATATTACGACATAGACTTACGCATGGAATGTTTCTGACGTTGTATCCAAAACTAAGACAATATGAACCCAAGTTTTTTAATTCTTTTAGAATATCTATAAAATCATTTGACGATGGCTGGTCTCTTTTAGATTTCATCAATAAATAGATTAGTATCGAAATGATCGTTCTCCATTTTGGCCAATGTGTGTCTACTCTACCCGAAAGCGCGCGATCGAATGTACAACAACATGGCAGCACATGTATCTCAAAGCGCGCGGCTGACGCCCGCAAAACACGCGTTCTAACCAAAATCTATCAACGCGCGCTTGGCCAGAAGCGCGCGTTTGAAAACCCCTAATGTGTACACAGCCTTAGACTTTGTCCGCGAGTGTTGATCGAACTTTGAAACTTTCGTTCGTATCTCATGCCATGATATTTTCTTTTCTGACTGCTAAGAATTGTTTTTTTTTTTTTTTTATGTCTTCATTACTTACAACGCGACAATTTTGCTTTCAAAGGAATGCTACATTTATTTCCAAATTGTGTCATGTCTACCAGAGTCAGAGTCAAAGCTGGATTTTTCCGGTTGACATTCTAAACATTCCAATTCGTTAGTTCGGTTGGCACGTGACCTCACGGGGCTGCAATTTATAGAAAATTGGGAGAAAACCAAATTTCTTCTATTCTTAATTTTTAATTTTTTTGAAATTTCATAAATACTGATATTGTTATTATATATTGCATGTTATTATAACAATATGAACTATACATATTTTTACGTAATATTAATAAATTTCATCGTCAAAATTGTATCTGCACAGTAACTAAAGAGATTGGAGTTGTGGTGTTGGAATATTGAGCTATTTGAATCCTAAGAAAATATTACATTAATATATTTACAAGTTAAAACAACAAAATAATAAAATACATAAAAATCGTCGGTTAAAGGTTGAAAACGTTCGTTAATAAATAATTCTCAGTGAGATAAGGTGTTTTACGTAGGTATAACATTAAAAGCAATTATTCTCACTGTTTTACAAGATTATTTTATTTAAGCAACTTTTATATGAGGTCTTTCGGGCATTTTTTTTAACTCTTTCCGCCCTGTGGGCACTAAGAGGGCCTCTTTTTTGTAAGCCCATTATGGGTACGGCCAGGCACACAATGGAGGCGACCGGATGGTGAGGGACGAAGCCCGACATATCCGGACGGACCATCCCCCGAAAAATTTGAGGATTTATCGATTCGTCCGGATTCAATCCCGGGTCTCCCAGAGCGGTAGGCTGCCACCTTGACCGCTCGGCCATCCGGCCGCATATTTAGGATTTAATTATTTCAGTCGAAGCGGTAGGCTGCCACCTTGACCGCTCGGCCATCAGCCCTTGTCTTTCGGACATTAAGTTTTAACAACTCGATCACGTGCGGAGCCATCACAACCTGTCTAACACGAATCACTTTTCAAATATTAATAGTAGACCAGTAATAATTAGTAGTCGTTGACTATTCTCTCTTCCGGGAAAAGGTCAACGTCTACTTTTGCTCGAATTACTTCGACCCCTTTCCGCAATGGTCTCTTCTTTCTATTGGATCAGCGGTATGGTGACATTGGAATTGAAAAATCCAAAATATGAGGTTAGCGGCCTGTACAAAATATGATTTAAGTGGTTTTCGAGGGTATCGAGTTTAAATATTTTGTCTGTTTTTCGCGAAATTTAATTCGTTGTCAGATGACCATTTGATATTCGACTGTGAATTGAACAGTTTCTTAGAGGTAGAGAAAAAATTACGATATCTGAAAAAATTTAAGATATCACATTTTCAATTGGTGTCTACTTGACCAATGAAATTCAGCCATTTCCTACCGGTCGAGTATCGCGATAAACGTCACAATGATAGACTAAAAAACCAAACTCTTTATATGGTCTTCGTTTTAATATGTATTACTAGCTGCAAGGGCCCGCTTCGCTAGGTTTTTATTTGTTCGTACATTTGTATGTAATATAGTTTTTTTTAATATATAAAAGACTATTTTTCTAAGTAATCTACAATCTAGCTGCAAGGACCCGCTTCTCTGGGTTTTTATTTGTGGGCAAAAAGTAACGATAGTGAAGATTAAGATAATTACATTATAGCCAATCTTACCCGTTTTCACAAAATGCAAGAATTAGGTCTCCCGTTTCCAGACGTTTCCAGAGAATTTTTACATGAGCATAAAAATATGTTCGATTTCCCGCAAAAGCGCAAAAAACCGCCTGTAAATCTTGCATGCCGCTTTATATTAACACTTCCTGGTCCCGATTCTATTTCTGAACGTCTCCTGTTCACGTCCAGTCAAACGAACTATTTTCAACGTTTCTGGAACGTTTACGATCGTTCTATAATCGAACCAATATTCGAATTTTATGTTCGAATTTAATTCGAACAAATTCGAACAAAACATTCGAAATAGAAAGCCACTTTCAACCACTTTCAGCCCCATATCTCCCGCACCCTTATAGCTATCGAGACGCAACCACCATATTGCACGAATGGAGACTCGGGGCTACTACCACATACAAACACCATTCATGTGCGATGTGTAGTTTTGGCTGAAAAGTAAAATATAGGGACACACACGTCCATTTATATATATATAGATATAGATAAAGATATTATAGTATTAAATTTATGTAACTACAAAGATTATCTTAGATTGTTTACTTGGTATGATAAACCTTTACCTAACACATTTTCAAAATTATTTATTTTTCTACTGTACACAATTTCAAAATTTTTTTAAATGCGTGACATTAGGCAGTTAGTATTTTAAACCCTTACGTAAGATAACATTCGTAGTTATATAAATAAAATACTATATTATAATAGAAGGGTTAGAAGTATAAAATAATCTAATAATCTTAATGTTTGTTATTTTTTGCCCGAGTAACGCTGGGCTCATCTGCTAGTATCTTCTATTTCTATACTACAGTACTTATGAATTAGCAGCCGCATAAAGTGGGAATTTTATTGAGTTTCTCAATAAAAATTTCTTTTCCGTTTAACTCAGTTTTTCCAAGATTAGAGCCCGAGTGCATCACTAATGCAAGACAATGTGCCAAGGTGAGGTGGATTCTGGAAGGACTTTACTTTGTGAAATTGGCCACTAATTAAGTGTAAGATAATTTAAAAAAACTCGCGGCGAGCCCTTTGGTCAGGCGCGACCATGGACCAACTTACCAGTATTCGGTGATTTTATCCATTCGGTCACTGATGAACCTTATCACTTAAAAAATTGTATCCAGCTCTTAATTTAACTCGCTGTTTTTCATCAGACGCGGCGTGTTAAAGAGTGTACAATACATATCGCATAACTATAGATAGAAACAGCGATCATTATATTAGTGATTTTAAAATTTTATGAAATTTTTATATTATTAAATATCAATTTCGAATAATATTAATCATTGCTCAACGTGTTAGTATTCTGTAAATTAGAATTATGATAATTTCTATCAAAAATACTTATGAATATTCCAGGCAACTTCCTTTTCAACTACAGTGCTGTAATCATTTTGTCTGCGTTATTATTTGTTTTAGGTATGCATTTGGGAAATACGCAAATTATTAATATAATTTATATAAAATATTATTGACGTTAAATTATAAATAGTGTTTCGTTAGAATAATGTGTTATTTATATTAAAAAATAAATAAAAAAAATTTCGATTTGAGTTGGCAACTTTACGTAGCGCTGTTGTAGCAAAGTCTGATTTGCGTTTTTGGATACGAGACATTAATTTTTATATTTTTAATTTCGTATCTAAAACGATTGGAATTTCAAAATAGTTATAATTTAACCAAGTAATTAAAATTTAAAAATAATCGAACGATTTCACTTGCGTACAAACGCAAAGAAATGAATTTTTCAAGCAAACGGTCTGAAAATAATTCAAAACACATGATACGTTTGACTTCATGGGTGTTGGGTCCGTAACCTAAGCAACACATCTTTCAATTGGTCCGGTCCCACCCGAAATACCAAATGTAAGATCCCGTTTAATTGGCCAATAATTGCCGGCACTTTCTGTAAAACTATGTCATTGGTCGCCGCGAGTCATGTGACCGATGACGTTACGTACGGTGAAGGAAGGAGAGGAAAGATGGACGAACGTCGTTGGTTTAACTACTAAGATCAATTAATTCGTTTCGATCGCGTATTTGGAAAATTTTAATATAAACTGTGATACGTCAACAATCTATTCATTCCTATGTTCAGTTTTTGAAGAGCGAGAAAGTCGAGGATATCGTTGGGAGTAATTGCACGTTGTTTTAGGCCTAACAGTTTGTACATTGAATTCAAAATAAGATACGAGATGGATTCGAATCGCCATCGATTCGATTAAGAAAATATCGGCTTATGATTGTAAGTAATTCTTACATTCCCGTCAATTGCGAGGCATCTGTTCGTCGTTGGTCTCTACTATGGAACTCGTTATCCACAAGTTGACTTTTAGTTCAAACAGATGATTTTCTAGAAGGAGAAATTCGAATATTTATGTGTTTATTGATGATCGAGTTTCCTCGTTTTGTTAACAATCTGACCATCACCTAATTCGGTCTTACTTACCGATAATGTCTTCACATCCATCCCATTCGGCCTCTCCTGGATTTGTGGATAAAATTGACCCTTTTAAAAAAGGTTCCGTCAAAAGAAAACAAAAAAAGTCACAAGGATCCTCGCGTTATAGGTCAACAAATGATGTAGAATTACAAGCTCTGCCTCTATTGAAAGGTAAGTGCTTGTCAATTACATTTTTCCTTTCTGTAAATAAATATTTGCCTATAAATCCTTCAAAAAAAATAATAAATAAAAAAAATTTGATTATAATGTGGAAATGTGTTGCCTCGGGGGATTCCTTATATGTCCTTGAATTCTCATCTGTTATAAGGAAGATTTAGAAGGAAACTAGATTACATTCTGTTTATTTTTAAATAAAATTATGCAATGCACTTGCTAATTTATGAGTAAATTTTTGTACTTGCAAATCAGAATAACATAAATTACCATGTTAAGATTGTTATGTATGGATTTGTTAGGGTTTCAAATGAAAAAATTATGTTGTAATGGTCTACTCAAACTCTGCCTTGTTTTCATTCACTCTGTGATAGTGTGTTGGTAATTTATTGTCTTGGCCGAAAGTATGCATTACGGTAAAACAGTAGTACTTGATAATATTCGTTATTTAAATCGCTACTATAAATGTTTTCGTATGTGACCGACGAGATTTTTTAATTCGGTCACTATGGGTAATTTGACATTTTAATAAAAATTTTGCACTTTAAAAAATAATAAGAAAACATTGCTTTTAATATTGCATCATAATGGGAAATAAGATTTCATAACTGATATCATTATTTACTTTTTAATCTCTTCTTATATGATGGTTTAATGTTAGCTGGTTTATTAATTGAATTTTAGTATATTTCTTTTGAATAATGATGTATAGAGTCTTTTTAAATAATATACATTTATATTAAAAACTGCACTGCAGCATATTACTAATATACTTTAAAAATAGGGTGTGGCATCTATTTAAAATTCTTATTAATAGTTATATGAATCTTTTTCAACATTTTCAATTTTATATCATTATCATCATTATATTTATTCTTCATGTAAATGTTTTTATTAAATGACATATAGGCACAATTATGCCATTTCCTCTGTTGTAATTCAAACTAATAGTAAGCTGTTAAATGTATAACTTTGTGTACATATATCATATTTACAATACAAATTATATTTGACTATTACAAATACACATCTTTACTTCACTTACGTAGTCCAAAAATAATATTTTACAACATAAAAATGATTTTATTATTACTCTTATTAAACAAGTGATAATTAAGCTTTTTAATGTTGAAAATTTTGTGTTTAAGTATTTCTTTACTAATTATGCATTTTTACATACACATAATTCATTCATGTTATGAAGTTATTACATTTTATTCAAAATTTACTCTAAACAGATTATTAGGATTTCATGTCTCATGACATGAGATTTGTGTCTGTTGAACTATGAAAATCAAATTATTGCAAGCATAGATAATTATTTTAAATAATTGTATTAATGAATATTAATTTATAAATAATTGTTTTGAAATTTCAATAAGAATAAAAATATTAAAATATGAGAAATATTAATTGATATTTTTCACATTTAAAACTGGAAACTTTACGTAGCGCTGTTGTAGCAAAGTCTGATTTGCGTTTTTGGATACGAGACATTAATTTTTATATTTTTAATTTCGTATCTAAAACGATTGNTTTTATTATTACTCTTATTAAACAAGTGATAATTAAGCTTTTTAATGTTGAAAATTTTGTGTTTAAGTATTTCTTTACTAATTATGCATTTTTACATACACATAATTCATTCATGTTATGAAGTTATTACATTTTATTCAAAATTTACTCTAAACAGATTATTAGGATTTCATGTCTCATGACATGAGATTTGTGTCTGTTGAACTATGAAAATCAAATTATTGCAAGCATAGATAATTATTTTAAATAATTGTATTAATGAATATTAATTTATAAATAATTGTTTTGAAATTTCAATAAGAATAAAAATATTAAAATATGAGAAATATTAATTGATATTTTTCACATTTAAAACTTGAAATGCATAACAACAATTATGATTTGGAATGCAAAGAATAAATTTTCTATTTAATTTTATAAATGCATAAACCATTTGAGAAATTTGCATATTTGATATATTATTATAGCTGTGGAGTGATTTGGAGAGTTCAGTTTTAGCTAATTGTATGAAGTCAATGTACCTATAATGTTCTCAAAAAATGTATATATATTTAAAATTGAATTTTAGTTTTTATATTTTTCTATTGAATAAGACTTTTTCTTTTCTATTAAAATGAATATTATTACTCTGATTTTTTTAAAACAGATAAAGTTTTAAAAATAATTTTATTTTAAAATAATTATAAATTTATGTATATTATCTTCATTTGATTGATTCATATTCAAATTTCTTTTTGCCATGCATTCTGTATTTAAAAGCATTGTATAAATAATCTGAATAGAAGAATATTCAGCCTTTTTATATTTAAAGAAAGTTTTCCTTATTATTTATATAATGCATTTTTTAAAATAAAATAAAAATATATAATCATTAAATTTAATTTTTCTAAACGTAAGCTAATTTTATTTTATGCTTGTTTCTATTATATTACATTTATTAAATTGTAGGAATATTGTAGAAAGTATAATTGAAAATTTTATAAATATATTTTGAACTATTAAAATTTGTTTAAGATAGATAAAAAGATAATTTCAATAATATTAAGTTGATTGATTCAGTTGAAAGTTCATATTGTATTGATAACATTTATATCTACAACCTGAATTCAATCAATTAAAAAATTTTTTTATGTATAGTATTTATATTAATATAATTATTCTAAAATTTAGTTAGCTGGTAGTATTTTTTTTTCATTAGATAATGAGTAGTAAATTCCTATTTGATTATATAATTTACAAACAAAAAAATTACAGAATTGTATTCAAACTATTTCCTAAAACAACCTAATTAAATACATTTGATCTTCAATGATAAAATACAAGCATTCATGTATACATAATAAAAGTCTAATTAAAATGCTTTAAATTGTTGTTTATTACATAGTTTTTTTTAATCTTAGACAAATAGCAAATGTTATCAGATATTTAGTTTTTAGAAATTGAATCATATAAATTCTTAAGAAATTGAATCATATCTTTATCTAAAGTGTAAAAACATTATATAAAGTAGTTATCATTACATATTTATGTAAAGTGCTAATTTTTCTTATATATATGTACATATATAAAGGAAAAAAAAAATTAACTGGAACAGATTTAGTGCTATAATTATCTTCTGACATTTCTTGATGTCATAGCTTATATAATCATTCACATAATTATGCACGTTTCCTGTGCATAGTATAAATATTTTTGTGTATAAAATTGAACAAATTTATCACTATTTCTTTATTAAATTTTACTCTCAACTCTCTATAAAGTCTTTTCAATGCAGTATCAGTTCAGAAAAACTTACATTTAAATATTGAAGTGTAAAAGTTTAAATAGATTTTAATTGTTAAATTTATAATTAACTACAAATAAGTCTTTTTTTAAGTATATTAGATATTAAATTTGATTTTGTGAGAAATAAAGTAATAATAATCTATTATTTTTATTTTATTTTTTAAACATCTTTCAACACAGAGTTGAAGCAAAGATGAATGAATTTTTACATTCATTTCAAACTATTTATAGGTTACTATACCTACTTGTTCTATGTATAGATTAAAAGTATCATTTACTAATAAAATACAAGAGTGAATGGCTATTAGATATTTGAATAATAGAATAAACAATTATTTAATTTTTAGCACATGTATAAATTTTATTTTGATTACAATGAAGTAAAATATTACTTCTATTTAATTTTGAAACAATAAAATATATGAACAATATAATCATCTGCATTTAAAATTAATATCAGTTATATAATTTTTGGAAATATGATATATATAAATTCAAAATTTAATAATTTTCTTTTTCTTAATCTGAATGGACAAAACTAATATTAAGAGTACTTGAAATGTAGTAAAGATCTATAAATATTTGCACAAGTTTATTACTTACATATATAATAAAAAATTGTTTGTATTATGATTTGAATTACATATTTGAATTTTTAATAAGCTATAATTTAATTTAAACAAATGTAAAACAACAATAAACTGTTCTATGCAATCAATTATATACTGTATAAAATGTTTTATGAGATGATGATAATGGTGAGGTAATAATTTAATAATTCATTATTAGATTTTATGTATTAACAATTAGCTTTTGTATAATAATATTAAATCATATAAATAAAATTATTATTAAACTTTTCATAGATTTTTATATAAACTATAGCATGAGTAGTAAAATATTACTTTTTTTAACACCATGATAACTGTATTTATTAATGTTTTTATTTGAACTTGCATAAATGATTTACTGCAGATTAAAAAGCCAATAAATATAAATGATAAAATTATTAATCGAAGCAAAATAGTTTATTATTTGCATAAATTAGTTCAGATAAATTTTAGAATATGTTTAAGATATGATTTTATCTTGCTTTTCTATCTAAAAAATATTATTGATTAATAACTTGAAAGATATTGTTGATAACTAGCCAGAACCTGTCAAATATTTGGTGGTGATTAGAATGTGACTTGCCTATTAGTTTGATGTCATGGTCCTTACAATTTTGAATTGCATTTGTATTGAATAAAATCTCTAAATATTTTCATAAATGCTACTCGTCTCTTCTTAACTTGCAAAATTCAGTTGTGAAAGGAATAAAGATTTCGAAATTTGAGAAACAAATTTTTTAAAAAAATTCAGATTTTTAAATTTTAAATTGATTTATAATTTTTATATATTACTTTTTGAATCTCTCACTGAACACAATATTTTTAATAGAAAACTTATTTACTATTATCAATTTTTGTAAACATTCTAATATTTTTAAATGATCCACTCTGGATGGAGATGCTTCACAAAATATGGTCATACATTGTTATGCCTGCACAATGATCGCCTGTTTAATCAATTCCTTACTATTATACAAATATGATTTTACAGACTTCTATTTTATTTCAAATTGACTGTTTGGTGCTGTCAGCTGTGATAGATTATTTTTAATTATAAATTGTAGT